CAGGGCTGGAGTGCAGTGGTGCGATCTCAGCTCACTACAACCTCTGCCTCCGGGGTTCAAGTGATTCTCCTGCCTCAGCCACCCAAGTAGCTGGGATTACAGGCGCGTGCCACCACACCTGTCTAACTTTTTATATTTTTAGTAGAGATGGGGTTTTACCATGTTGGCCAGGCCGGTATTGAACTCCTGACCTCAAGTGATCTGCCTGCCTCAGCCTCCCAAAGTGCTGGGATTACAGGTGTGAGCCACTGCGCCTGGCCTGAAGGCTACATTTTGTTTAAATTAGTCTTATCATTAATTCCGTAGGATTTTCCATGTTCCATCATATCATCTACAAATATATTTTTTCTTTATTCTTTTAATTATTTTTCCTCCTCTGATTGCATTAGCTCCTATTTCCAGTGCAATTGAAATAGTCGTAGCGGCCAGGCGCGGTGGCTCACGCCTATAATCCCAGCACTTTGGGAGGCCGAGGCGGGTGGATCACGAGGTCAAGAGATCGAGACCATCCTGGTCAACATGGTGAAACCCCGTCTCTACTAAAACTACAAAAAATGAGCTGGGCATGGTGGCGCGTGCCTGTAATCCCAGCTACTCAGGAGGCTGAGGCAGGAGAATTGCCTGAACCCAGGAGGTGGAAGTTGCGGTGAGCCGAGATCGCGCCATTGCACCCCAGCCGGGGAAAAAAAAGCGAACCCCCGCTCAAAAAAAAAAAAAAAAAAAAAAAGAAATAGTCGTAGCAATACTGTGCAGCCTTCAACGTCGTTTTATTCCTGACCTTGGTCAGTGTCTGTAGTGTTTCTCTAAGATGCTAAGACCTCTGGAGAAATGGAGTTTCTAATCCTGAACCGTGGTTGAATTCTTAGAATAAATCCCTCCTAGTTGTGCAGTAGTTTTTTCTTTTAGACTTGGGGTCTCACTATGTTGCCCTGGCTGGCCTCAACTTCCTGGCCTCAAGCAATCCACCTGCCTCAGCCTCCCAAGTAACTGGGACCACAGGTGTGTGCCACCACGCCCAGCTAAGTTGTTTGATTTTGGTATTTTTAGAAACAGAATCTCATTATGTCCCCTAGGCTTGTGCTATATGTTTTTCAATACGGTATGGTTTCTGTTTATTAAAATTTTCCTAGTAATTTTTCGTTACCGCTTCCGGCCCAGAAAATCATTTTCTGTATTTTTATTCCCCTCCCCAGCCCCCACCCCACTGCAAGATTATGGAACGTACTTAGTGAGACCATGTTCTGTCTCATTGCTCATGAGTTTAACAAGCAGTCTCACACTTGAGGCTTTCATTTCTAAGCTCCAAATGCAGTGTATAGAAGGTCCCATGAGGGGTTCCATAGTGCATATTCATGAAAAGGGATATGGTCTGTGAGGACTCACCTCTATTCTTGAGGACTCCATTGCATGAGGGAAGAAGGCTGCCCTACACACTCCAAAATTTAATATCTCTCCATATCAATATCCTCGCCTTTTGCCCCGCTCACCCGCTCACTCCTCATCCCTAAAGTGGCCAACATAAATTTGCAACAAAACCTTTTTAAAAGTTAATTATGGTACTTTTAAAAAATTGTGGGCTGGGTGCGGTGGCTCACGCCTGTAATCCCAGCACTTCGGGAGGCCGAGGTGGGCAGATCACCTGAGGTCAGGAGTTCGAGACCAGCCTGGCCAACATGGTGAAACACCGTCTCTTCTAAAAATACAAAAATTAGCCAGGCATGGTGGTGGGCTCCTGTAATCCCAGCTACTTGGGAGGCTGAGGCAGGAGACTCACTTGAACCTGGGAGGCGGAAGTTGCAGTGAGCCGAGATCACACCACTGCACTCCAGCCTGCGTGACAGAGCAAGACGCCATCTCAAAAAAAAAAAATGTGAATAGTTTGGACTCACAAAAAGGGAAGTTTTCAATCCCTTTAGCATATTTGCATTGTAATAGAAAAGGAAGTGCCACCAGGGTCTGCTTTTTTATTTTTATTTTTTCTTTAAATAGAGACAAGGCTTCACCATGTTGCCCAGGCTGGCCTCAAATTCCTAAACTAAAGCGATCCACTGACCACGGCCTCCTGAAGTGCTAGGATTACAGGTATGAGCCGCCGTGCCCGGCCCTGGCCAGTGAGCCTTAAAAACTCAGAGTAACGGAGCCAGATCAAAGTGCTGATAGCGCCTGCAAGTTTAGAGAAAATATACCGTCTTCTTCGTCAGTCGGTCCCTTTCTGGAATCTAAGCTGATTTCTGTCAGAAGACTAAAGGTATGTTGCTCTTGCCGAGAATCTGGGACTGCAAACCCTGGAGCAGGGGGTGCTTGTGGATACCCGTGCTCTCAAGAAATACATCTGAGAAATTGGGGTGGAAAGGGAAAGAGGGTTTCACTAGACATTACGTTAACTATGGATTCTTCTATTCCCGGGGTAAAATATTTAAAAATGAAACTAATTTTTCTTGGTGAGTGAACATGACTTAGGGCGTCCCCAGAGAGCTGCCGCAGGACTCCGGAACGGGTTGTCTAGTTGTTCAGCCCAGAGGGCTCACCAAGCTCCCTGCCAAGTCCACTGTGCAGTTCCTTTTTCTGACACCTGTCCTTTCCCTAGTCTTCACCGAATCTGCTTTACAATTTTAAGTCTCTAGGCGATCCACACTGGCGAAAGACACAAAGCGACCTATCCTGGGGAGCCGCAGAGTCTCCCGCTTTCCTTCTCACCGTTTCTCGGGTCCCTTGTCCCCAGTTCTAAAACTCAGTCTCCTGCTTCATGAGCAGAGCCATCAAACCAACAGGGCGGGCAGTCCCCATGGTTGGAAGGAGGAGTGGGAGAGGCTGGGAGGAACAGGGACACGTCCAAGGCCCTGTGCATCACCCCAGACTTCCCTGCCCATCCATCTCCCTATACTTGTGCCTCTTCGCACTTTGGTGACTTTGCCATTCATGTTTATTTTAACCTCATTCACATTAATTGAGAGGAAAGGACCGTATCACACATGCATTGCCCCCGCGCCAAGCCCTGCCTAGTGGATGTGTTATACGCCCCAACGGGGCATAATCAGACACGCAGGAAGCCCTTTCAAGCTTATCTCATCTTTTTTTTTTTTTTTTTTTTTGAGACGGAGTTTCGCTCTTGTTACCCAGGCTGGAGTGCAATGACGCGATCTCGGCTCACCGCAACCTCCGCCTCCTGGGTTCAGGCAATTCTCCTGCCTCAGCCTCCTGAGCAGCTGGGATTACAGGTGTGCACCACCATGCCCAGCTAATTTTTGTATTTTTAGTAGAGACGGGGTTTCACCTTGTTGACCAGGATGGTCTCGATCTCTTGGCCTCATGATCCACCCACCTCGGCCTCCCAAAGTGCTGGGATTACAGGCGTGAGCCACCGCACCTGGCCGCTTATCTCATCTTTATCTGGAGAGAAGGAGGCATCCTCCTGAAGGGGGCTGACAGCTCCTGACCCTGATTCTCTACCAGGGCGGAGTTTGTCCAGGCTGATGCCCATGGAACCCGGTGCAGCCATGACCTGTGGCCAGAGTGGTCACAGTGGACAATGGACGTGGGCCTCCTTTTTTAGCACCGTGAGCTCCTTCAGCGCAGGAGAATGTGGTCTCTCTAAAAACAATCCCTAGAAGTGACTGGCATCACCTCATGCCTCATCTTCCTTTCCTCGGGCATTTTACTCTATTTCTCTTAGAACGTCCAAGGACAAAAACGTCCGCACGTAAAGAGGGGTGCATTTAATGCCCAGGGACCCACCGTGGGCCCAGCCTGGGTGTCTTCCTAGCTGGTTCACAGCCTTTTGATTACTCCACCAGAACTGCCCGCTTCAGGGAAGAGGAGCAGGTAGCCACCCCCTCCTCTGTAAATGACAGACTTGTGCCCCTACCCATCCAGCATTTTAACAGGCAGCAGCTGGAGCGTGGCCTGAACACCCAGGATTAGAAACAGGGTCGGGCGGACAGGAGGAGCAGGCAGGCCCTGTGTCTGAGCTCTACCTCCGACCGTCTCCGACACCTAAAACATCCCAGTGTGTTCATCCACACAATGAGCAGAATACCTATTTTGAGGCTGCTGGGAGGATTGGAGATAAGGGCTGTCTGAATACAGAAATAACGTATAGATATCCTGCTTGAAACCTTCCCAATCCTTCTGTTTTGGAAAAATTCTAAACTCCTCTCCACGCCCATAGGCTGGGCACACTCCAGCCCTGCCTGGCTCGTGGGTCTTACCTCTTCACCTCTCGCCATCCTCCAGGAAACAATCTTTCTGCTCTGCAGACGCTTCAAGCATGTTTCCAGTCTGTTTCTGCACCTGCTTCTCCCCGCACCCAGCATCCTCCTGCATGGCGCAGTCCTCCACGTGGCCATCTCTGACCACACAGTCCACGGGAGCATGCCCAGACGCTCTCGTCACTGCGTTTTACTTGCTCTCACTTGACACCGGCTGGCATGATCTCATTCGCTTATTTATGTATGCATGAGGGTAGGAAATGTGTCTGTCTCGTTCATTACCAACTCTCCAGCTTGTAGAACAGTGCTTAGGACAGGGTGTGCACTGGAATATGTGAGGGGAAGTGAGTGCATGCTAAGTCTAGACACTGCCTGGGGCGGGCTGCAGACCCATTCACGTGAACCGCTCAGCCCTGCCCCAGAACCTTCCCAGGCCCAGACCTCTCCTTTCTCTGAGTGTTCCCACTCCCCAGCTAGCAGGCCACATTTTGGGGCCAGACCCGCCCGATCTGGCGTTGAAACTCCTGATTAGGCCTCCTCACATGTGAAACTGGGCTGCAGCCTCACCCAGAGACAGTGGCCCTCACTTTTTTTAGTGACAGAAAGCTGTTCCTACCCAGGCAGGGCCTGATGGAAGTCAGCTTCCGCTTATGGCCCAGTCGCGCCACCCAGGGTACTGGGGCCGAGCACCCTCCTCCTGGGTAAAGCAGGAATCAGGTGGGGGCGGGGAGAGCGCTCTGTTACTCCTGAAGATGTGCTTTGCGTGGAGCAGCGTAAATAAAGAGACACAGCCAAGGGGAAGGTATATATTTAAAACTCCTCCCCTTCATTCTCTTCTTCAAACGAGTCAGTCCCCACTTCTTCATAATCCTTCTCCAAAGCAGCCAGGTCTTCCCTGGCCTCAGAAAATTCTCCTTCTTCCATCCCCTCTCCGACATACCAATGCACGAAGGCCCGCTTGGCGTACATGAGGTCGAACTTGTGGTCGAGGCGGGCCCAGGCCTCCGCGATGGCCGTGGTGTTGCTGAGCATGCAGACAGCCCGCTGCACCTTGGCCAGGTCTCCCCCGGGGACCACGGTCGGGGGCTGGTAGTTGATGCCCACCTGAGAGACAGAGAAGAAGATGCAAGTCAGCCAGACGATAACTCAGGATGGGGCATCTTGGTCACCTGGCTGGCTTCAAGTCATGGTTATGGGCGTGGGGGTGGAGCTATGGGATGGAGCAGGCGGCATGGGAACAGGAAGCCGGCAGGTGGCGAGAGAGAACCTGAAGAGAAAGTGAAAGCAGTTGGGGCAACAGAGCAAAAACCCATCTCTACTAAAAAAAAAAACAACAAATTAGACTGGACAGGGAAAATGTGGCACATATACACCATGGAATATTACGCAGCCATGAAAAATGATGAGTTCATGTCCTTTGTAGGGACATGGATGAACCTGGAAACCATCATTCTCAGCAAACTGACACAAGAACAGAAAATCAAACACCGCATGTTCTCACTCATAGGCGGGTGTTGAACAATGAGAACACATGGACACAGGGAGGGGAGCACTACACACTGGGGTCTGTTGGGGGGATATAGGGGAGGGATAGAGGGGGGTGGGGAGTTGGGGAGAGATACCATGGGGAGAGATGCCACATATAGGTGAAGGGGAGGAAGGCAGCAAATCACACTGCCACGTGTGTACCTATGCAACAATCTTGGCATGTTCTTCACATGTACCCCAAAACCTAAAATGCAATTAAAAAAAATTAGCCGGGCACCGCAGCTATGCCTACTAGTCCCAGATACTCGGAGGCTGAGGTGGGAGGATCACTTGAGCCCAGAAGTCAAGGCTGCAGTGGGCTACGGTGGCACGACTGCACCCCAGCAGCGGGTACAGAGCGAGGTCCTGTCTGTTATACAAACAAAAACAAACAAAAGCAGGTGGGCAAGGGCTGGGCAATCGAAGGCTGGAGAAGGACAATGCTGGTACAGAGGGCTCAGCAGATGGGCAAATGTGAGTCGCCAGTGACGTTAGCAGCAGGTGGGAGACGTCTGGTCCACGTGTATGTGTAACAGGAAATGCATGCTAGATTCCAAGCTATTCAGAAGTGTACTGTCTCCCAAATAGTCATCTCAAGTTCCTCTTAGTTGTGTTGCAAGTAAATTTCAGGAAGTTTCCCTGCCAAGAGTGAAAACTATTGAAGAGGTCACAGGGAGACTCCAGAGCAGTAAATAAAGAGAGCCCGAAGGCTCCGGGTGGTGCTGGTGTTAACCAGGCTCTGGGTTTCTGGGCATCGGGGCTTCTTGGAAGAAAAGCAGAGTCTCCAATCCAAGAAGGCTGTTAAAGATCTTGCCAAGTTCTGCAGCATGGCAGGTCTCCTAGGCTCAGCCCAGCCCCATCTTAGTGGCACTTCTGCTCTGGGAAGCTCTCTCCTTCCCAACACACATCCCAAACCAAAGCCAACCCCAGGAACCATGGGAAACTGGGACAAGTCTAACGTGGCAAACCGTGACATTACTCATGGGGACTGAGAACCTCAGCCACCTCTCCCACTGAGACCACCACACTTTAATTGCCAGTCTCTTAATGCCACAGCTTTAAAATGCACATCCTCCTGAGGGGCTGGGGCAGGGGTGGCAGCTGACTGTGCAGCAACGTGGGTAGCCTGCAGCTGGGCCCACAGCGGCCACCAATCCTCTCAGGCACAGGTGGCATCTTGGAGGTGGAGGGGGTACAGGGAGGGGGCAAAGTGGGGAAAGGCAAGGCAATGAATATGAACTTGGCCACATCACATATGTTGCTGGATCCAACCCGACTGCCATCAACTTTGTGCCTAGGCCAACTTCCTGTCCTCTAAGCGGTAACATCTCCGACCTGAGTCAAGTGGGGATAAGTTCCGTTGGAGAGAATGCCAGAAGATGAGGTTCAGCAGCCTCCGCTCCAGGGAACGTGCTTGTCTCCGCTTATGCTAATGCCACCACGTTTATCCTTCAGGGCGTAACCCAGAGCTTCTGCTTGAAGGACAGAGAATGCGGGGCCTCTCCTTTTTGTCAATTTCCCCACAGCCTGCCATGTCTCTCTCCTTTTTGTCAGTTTCGCCACAGCCTGCCATGTCTCTCTCATTCATTCTCTTTCCTCCCATTCATTCTCCTGCTAGCTCGTTGTTTGTTTCCATTTGAGAAAGAAAAAAGAACTTCATTTTTTGGAAGACCTTGACTGGTTTTGCCAGAATGACTAGAACTGCCACATAAAAATAGGCATAATCGGGCCGGGCGCGGTGGCTCACGCCTGTAATCCCAGCACTTTGGGAGGCCGAGGCGGGTGGATCACAAGGTCAAGAGATCGAGACCATCCTGGTCAATGCGGTGAAACCCCGTCTCTACTAAAACTACAAAAAATTAGCTGGGCATGGTGGCGCGTGCCTGTAATTCCAGCTACTCAGGAGGCTGAGGCAGGAGAATTGCCTGAACCCAGGAGGTGGAGGTTGCGGTGAGCCGAGATCGCACCATTGCACACCAGCCTGGGCAACAAGAGCGAGAAACTGTCTCTCAAAAAAAAAAAAAAAAAAAATAGGCATAATCTTGGGGGGAAATTATATATGTAGCTGGGAGGAGAGCAGTGAGAAGGAACGTTGCACTCCTCACTCAGCAGAACAGCCAGGTCAAAGCCTCAGACACAAGCAGGGCCGCCATGAGGCCAGCACACAGCTGGTGCCTTGCGCTTATAACTCCTGCTGAGAACTGAGATGTGTTCATCTCTTTACCTCCAGCAACTGGGACAAACCCGGATACATGATAGGTCCCAGTAAAACCTCTGAATGATTGAAAGCATGACTAGGGGCTGGGCACGATGGCTCATGCCTATAATCCCAGAATTTTGGGAGGCTGAGGTAGGTGGATCACCTGACATCAGAAGTTCAAGACCAGCCTGACCAACATGGTGAAACCCCGTCTCTACTAAAAATATAAAAATCATATGGTGGTCCATGCCTATAATCCCAGCTACTCGGGAGGCTGAGGCAGGAGAATCACTGGAACCCAGGAGGTGGAGGTTGCAGTGAGCCGAGATCACACCACTACAGTCCAGCCCAGGTGACAAAAGAAAGAGAAAGAAAGAGAGAGAGGGAGGGAAGGAAAGGAAAGGAAGAAAAGAAAAGAAAGATAGAAAGAAGAAAGGAAGAAAGGAAAGGAGGAAAGAAGGAAAGAGAGAAAAAGAAAGAAAGAGAAGGAAAGAAAGGAAAGAAAGAAGGAGAGGCCGGGCGCAGTGGCTCACGCCTGTAATCCCAGCACTTTGGGAGGCCGAGGCGGGTGGATCACGAGGTCAAGAGATCGAGACCATCCTGGCCAACATGGTGAAACCCCATCTCTACTAAAAATACGAAAAAAATTAGCTGGGCATGGTGGCGTGCACCTGTAGTCCCAGCTACCCGGGAGGCTGAGGCAGGAGAATCGCTTGAATCCGGGAGGCAGAGGTTGCGGTGAGCCGAGATCATGCCACTGCACTCCATCCTGGCGCCTGGTGACAGAGTGAGACTCTGTCAAAAAAAAAAAAAAAGAAAGAAAGAAAGGGAGGAAGGGAGGAAGGGAGGAAGGAAGGGAAGGAAAGAAGGAAAGAAAGGAAGAAAAAGAAAGACAGACAGACAGACTAAAGGGCACTAGTTAATGTGTGGCAGCTGTTCTGATGGCCGACTCTGACAAGAAGACCATGCTGGAGTGGCTGAGCTGTTCGCGTGCACAGCCGGGCTTCATGCCTGCCACCCAGCTCAGAGGTATGGCTTCTACTGGTGAGCATTCCTGGTCCTGGGGCCCCAGGGTCTGCCCTCACTATTCTGTATGTCCCCACTGACCCTCCAAGCCTGGCATTTTCCAGACTGCGGGCACCTGGCCTACCACCGGCCACACGGCTTGCTGGTTTCTACCTACTCCTGGTTAACGGCGATGGAAAACAGCAATCATTGAACAACTAGAAAATTGTCTTCTTATTACTCCAAATTGATTAAGATGTGCAGGATAGATATTTAAGTTTTCAAAATAAATTGGGAGAACACATCTTTTGTTACAGGAGGGCATCCTCCTCTGGCAACTGGAATAATTTGCTTAACTCTAAAATTAAAATGGCCACAAAATCATGCTGTACGAGGAAGTGTAAAATATTAAAATCAACTTTAGGCAAATTGAACCAAATCATGAACACCAAAAGCACTACAATTCAGGTCAGTAGATTCAGACCAATACCAAATCATTACCTGTTGCTCAATAAAGAAAATCAAAGATTAACCAATTAATCCATTTAAAATAGCACCAAACTTTTCTTTCTTTCTTTTTTCTTTTTTTGGTTTGTTTGAGATGGAGTCTCACTCTGTCACCAGGCTGGAGTGCGGTGGTGCGATCTCAGCTCACTGCAACCTCCACCTCCCGGGTTCAGGCAATTCCCCTGCCTCAGCCTCCCGAGTAGTTGGGACTACAGGCGCACGCCACCACGCCCAGCTAACTTTTCTATATTTAGTAGAGACAGGGTTTCACCATGTTGGCCAGGATGGTCTTGATCTCTTGGCCTTGTGATCCGTCTGCCTCGGCCTCCCAAAGTGCTGGGATTATAGGCATGAGCCACCGCGCCTGGCCTCAGCACCAAACGTTTCTAAAATGGCCTAAACAGACAAAACTTTAACAGCATTTGTGTCTCAACCAAAGCTGAATTCCATGAAGGTTACATTTGGTTGAATTCCCCTCCCCATATTATCACATAAGCCTGAAGCGCCCAGGGAGCTGCACGTCTTTGGTCATCTCCCTCTGTTTCTCTCGTCATCTCTCCCCTCCCTAAGCCAGCAGCTCTCACCTTGAAGCCTGTGGGACACCAGTCTACAAACTGGATGGTCCTCTTGGTCTTGATGGCAGCAATGGCGACATTCACGTCCTTGGGCACCACGTCGCCCCGGTAGAGCATGCAGCAGGCCATGTACTTGCCATGTCTGGGGTCGCACTTCACCATCTGGCTGTTGGGCTCAAAGCAGGAGCTGGTGATCTCGGCCACGGAGAGCTGTTCATGATAGGCTTTCTCGGCAGAGATGATGGGTGCGTAGGTGACCAGCGGGAAGTGGATGCGGGGATAGGGTACCAGGTTGGTCTGGAACTCAGTGAGGTCCACGTTGAGGGCCCCGTCGAAGCGGAGAGAAGCAGTGATTGAGGACACGATCTGGCTGATGAGGCGGTTGAGGTTGGTATAGGTGGGGCGCTCAATGTCGAGGTTCCGGCGGCAGATGTCATAGATGGCTTCGTTGTCCACCATGAAGGCGCAATCTGAATGTTCCAGTGTGGTGTGAGTGGTGAGGATGGAGTTGTAAGGCTCCACCACTGCCGTGGAGACCTGGGGGGCCGGGTAGATGGCAAACTCCAGCTTGGATTTCTTGCCATAATCCAGGGAGAGGCGTTCCATCAGCAGAGAAGTGAAGCCGGAGCCGGTGCCCCCACCGAAACTGTGGAAAATCAGGAAGCCCTGCAAGCCAGAGCAAGCATCTGTCTGGGGAGAGTGGGACATGAGAAGGAATCATAAATATAAGTTTCCGAGAACACCCCACAAGCGTAAAAAGCCAGGTGGCCCACCCTGTCTGCCCATCCCACCTCTCTATTGTGTGGATTAAATCAAAACAGCCTTGAAGAAATAAGGAAACAAAAGGACGTGTATTGATCTTTGGGGGAGTGGCTAAAATATGGGATGGGGCCAGGCACAGTGACTCAATGCCAGTAATCCCAGCAGTTTGGGAGGCTGAGGCAGGAGGACCAGTGGAGGCCAGGAGTTCACAACCAGCCCGGGCCACATAGTGAGACCTCACATCTAAAAAATGTTTTAATTAACTGGGCGTGGTGACGCACACCTGTAGTCCCAGTTACTTGGGATGCTGAGGTGGGAGGATCACTTGAGCCCAGGAGTTCAAGACTACAGAAATCTGTGATCACACCATTGAACCCCGGCCTGGATGACAGAGCAACACTCTGTCTCTATCACTTTTTTCATGGGATGGCAAGCTGCAGGGGCACACGCCTCTAGGTACATGAAGGTTTCAGCCCAGTAGTTGGTTGAACAGGGAATGTGAGTTTCAAAACCACAGTGGATGGTGACTTTGTCCTTTGAGGGCCCCAACTCCTTGCCCACTTTCCCTGCCCTTGTCATCTGATTTTGTGGGAACTGCTACCTACATACTTCAACCCAGCCTTGGAAGGTGACCCAGGGCACCAATTTCAGAATTGTAAATGGAGCCAGAGAGCCTGAGTTTTATTATCAACTTTGCTGTTTCCCGGTTGTAAGAACCTGAGCAAGTCACTGAACTTCTCCAAACTTTTGTTCCATCTTAGTGAAAGTGGGGAAATAGAAAACCCTCATAAGGTTATTGTGACAATTAAATTAAATAGCATAACATGCTGAGCAAGGACCTGGTGCACTGTAAGCACCGGTCGGCGCTTATTAGAACCAAGAGAAATTCACAGAAACACAGGAGTTTCCCATTGGGTGTGATTTGAACTTTTGGGGGCCACAGGCAGCTTTGAGGCCAATGACCCTAAGAAGCCCTCCTCTAAACAGAAGAAGCAAAAATTGGGCACCATTACCTCCCCGGTAAAGAACATGTGATCAGGTCCAAGCTTTTCCATTATACAGATAAGCAAACGGAAGCTTAAATAAACAAAGTGACCCAACCTACAACTCAGAGCTTTGTGGTCCAACCGAGTTCAAACCCTGACTCTGCCACTTTCTAGCTGTGTGATGCAGGCTAAGATACTGAACCGCCCTGGCCGTCAATTTCTTCATCTGTAAAGTACAGGTAGGAGACCTCCTAAGTAGAATTATTAAGGATTAAATAAAGGAACGTACTTGGCTGTGTAGCGGCATTTGTAAGCGCCCGAGTGTGTCAACAATCTCGTCCTCTCCTCTTTCAGGTTACTTTGTTAACCTGTGTTTCCAACCAGCAGAGACCTCACCCTGCCTCACACCTGGAAGCTTCCCCAGATACTACCAGAGAGTATCAGTGAGTATGAATAGGGCCTCAGCCTGGAGCACAGTCTATGGTGCCAACACAGAGGAAGGGGCATCACCCCTGTGCATGCTTCTTACAGAATTTAAGCAGAAATTCCCAAACCTTAGGAGCTCCATCCTGTAGCCAGGGGTCGTGTGCCGTTCCCCAGCCTGATCAAAGAGGCACGTGGCCAAGGCTGTCCACTCCGGCCGGGCCCACCCATCCCTGCCCTCCTGACCCTTACCAGCTTCCGTATGCGGTCCAGCACCAGGTCGATGCTCTCCTTGCCCACCGTGTAGTGACCCCGGGCGTAGTTATTGGCTGCATCCTCCTTTCCTGTGATCAGCTGCTCTGGATGGAAGAGCTGGCGGTAGGTTCCTGCCCGGACCTCATCTTCCAAGAGGAGAAGGCCGTTAGGTCCTAGCACCTAGGGGAGAAGCCTCCCTCCCTATCACATTACCGCAGGACCCCCTTCCAGTCTCCCCTACCTATAAAACTCCAAGGAGGTGAAGTCAGACCACCTCATAACAAATCCGCAGAAGGCTAGGAGAATTCCCAGGTAGCTCAGGCATGAACAGAGCCAAGGCCTTCGGCTCACATGCCCTGCTGCCTGGAACCCTAACAAGGCTTAGCTTGACAAAGGTCATCAAACTCCAACGCTAATTGCCTCTCCTCCCTTCCACCTAGACTCCTCAAGGCTTCCCTTTTGTCTTTTTTTTTCATGCTGCAAAGTGTACCAACAATTTAACTTAAGTCCATTTGCATTAAAATGTTCTAGGGACACGGAGAAAGATTCAGGATGATCTGCCCAGAACCTAGACCCTCCCAAGAGTTGTCCCCGCCCTCAACTCCACCTCATGGCGGCAATAATACATGTCAGGCATCAGACGTATTTTAGAATAATTTGAAGCAAAGCTATGTTCCAGGTCCTAGAGGAGCAGGAGCCTTACAGAGGCCTTGAAGGGGGTCTCTGCTCACTTCCAAGGATTCACACAAACTGGACACAGAGCAGATCAAGACACACCAGGCTCCAACTATGTCACCTCTTCTCTTCAAAAGTCCTCTATTCCCTGCAGAAAAATCATCTGTGCAGTGGCCTGGGAGGTAACCTGCACTTTGTGGGTTTGTGCAAAGCATCTGTCCTCTGCTGCCCGTAGACACTGGTGTTCAGGCACTCTAGTTCATGCCCAGTCCTCTCTGGGAAACTCTCTCTTGCTTGATGAGCCAGGCTCGAAGCTGGGGAAATCCTGAAGTTCAACTGAGAGTTGACCCCGGGAACAGAAACAGGGGATTTGGCACTACTGGCGGATAGTGTGGGAGGGGAGCTCTGCCCCACCCGAGGCGGAACTCCACTGTGTTTCCTAGACCTGAATGAGCCTCATTCCAGAACTCCAGCAGCCCCCGCTGTGAAGCAATGTGCCTGCTGGGACAGGCCCCTCTGTGTGTAAGAGGCTGAGGTTATAGCCACCCCGAGGGCAGACTCAGAAACCTACACTTGGGGTAACTGGTCATTTAGGGGTGTCTTATAATTTCTAAAATTATTTGGGTTTTCTTATCCTTACTGTTGAGTAACAATGTGACCGTTTTAGTGTGGCACAGCGGGTTTTGGGGTTGAAGTGGGAGGCATTTTGTTCTGCATAGAGTCTTGATTGCTGTTATAAGATTCCCGAGACTGTGGAGACCCCAAGGAGCTGACAGCTGTCACGTGGGCTGGGAGGCTCCAGCTGCACCTTCCCCACCTTCCAGCTAGAGATGCTGCTTCCTTAGCTACTGTGGGCCAACGCCTCTGCGGTTCCCTGATGTTCCCGGTGGAGAGGATCTCCGCCCACACTCACCCACCACAGTCGGCTCCAGATCGATCATGACGGCCCGGGGCACGTGCTTCCCGTTGCCAGTCTCGCTGAAAAAGGTGGTGAAGGAGTCATCATCGTTGATCTTGCTGGCTTGAGTGTCAAAAGTACCATCTGCCTGGATGCCATGTTCCAGACAGAAGAGCTCCCAGCAGGCATTGCCAATCTGAACTCCTGCTTGACCCACGTGGACTGATATGCATTCCCGCTGTGGGAAGGAGGCAGCATCACGGTCAGGGAGTCCAAGCCCTCAGCATGCCTCTGCCCATCACCCCTGCAACATTCCCCTTGCAGGCCAGCCAGGTCCCGGCCCCGCCACCCCATTGCCAGCTGACGTTGACTAGCCCTAGAGCAGCTGGTCCAGGACTTAGATCCAAAGAAGACACAGCTGTTCTGTGCTTCGTTCTAAAGGTTGCTTCCCAGGGTTAACCTTTTTTATACCAGGAAAGAAAAAAGAAGGTGGTTGCAAAGATGAAACAATGAGCTAATTCCAAACCACGAGCCTCCTGCACTGGTGAGGAAGGCCCAGGAAGAACTGGGGATCACGGCGGAAACTCTCCCTCAGCCTACTCTCACGCAAGGCAGTGTTCACAGTCATGCCTGACCCTGACTTTCTGAGACGCTGCGCACACACTTACACACACACGCACATGCACACGCACACACACACACGCATGCACACAGTCTCAGGACATCACAGAGCAAATGAACACTCATGAAAGGAACATGAGGCTGGGCGTGGTGGCTCACACCTGTAATCCAAGCACTTTGGAGGCCAAGGCAGGCAGATCACCTGAGGTCGGGAGTTCAAGACCAGCCTGACCAACATGGTGAAACCCCGTCTTAAAAAAAAAAAAAAGAAAGGAATATGATCTGAAATTCTATTCCATGGCTGTCAGTAGTGTCATGGTTACCAAAGTAGAAACAGGATTATTGATTATCCCAAGAGAGGATTGGACGGGTATAAATTAGGCCCTTCCTGCATGCTGAATAGCTGGAAAATCTTGGCGGCCCCATAGCCTGCCCCTTGCCTATGCCAGGCAGATGTTAAGTAAAGCTGACCTGGAGCGTCCTTAGCTCTGCCTGACTCTGATGTGAAGCCACAATTGCCTGACTGGTATTTGTGCTGACAGCTTAAGATGGGGAGTGCGCTGGTGGGAATGGAAATTGGGTCAGCCACTGTGGAAAGCAGTTTGGAGATGTCTCAAAGGACTTAAAACAGAACTACCATTTGACGCAGCAATCTTGTTACTGGGTGTATATCCAAAATAAAATCATCCTACCACAAAGACTGATGCACTCGCACGTTCATTCAAAGCACTATTCACAATAGCAAAGACACAGAATCAACCTAGGTGCCCTCCATGGTGGACTGGATAAAGAAAATGTGGTGTATAGACCATGGTGCCTATACTACGAAGCCCCCAAAAACAATGAAATCATGTCCTTTGTAGCAACACGGTTGCAGCTGGAGGCCACCATCCTAAGCAAATTAATGCAGAAACAGAAAACCAGATGCCACATGTTCTTATAAGTGGGAGCTAAACACGGGGACTCATGAACACACAAACGGCTATGGTGGACACTGGGCACTGCTACAGCAGGAGGGAAGCCGGGGGCAAGGACTGGAAAACCGACTGCTGGGTACTGCTCGTCACCTGGGGACAGGATCAGTCGCACCCCAAACCTCGGCGTCACAATCTATACCCATGTAACAAATCTGCACCTGTACTCCCTGAATTTAAAATAAAAGTTGAAATTATTAAAGGAAAGGGAGGTGGGGAATGTGTGTGTATATATGTGTGTGTATGTGTGTGTGTACGTGTGTGTGTGTAGGTATGTGTGTATGCATGTATGTATGTGTGTGTTTGTATATGTGTGTGTATGTGTGTACGTTTGTGCATGTGTACGCATGTTTGTGTATGCATGTGTGTATGTGTGTATATGTGTTGTGTGTACGTGTGTATCTGTGTATGTGTATGTACGAGCATGTGTGTATGCATGTGCGTGTGTGTGTATGCGTGTGTGTGTTTGTGTGTGTATATGTGTGTTGTGTGCGTGTGTGTGTACGTGTGTGTGTGTGTGTGTGTAGGAATGATAGGCTCATCCCCCCACACACACTCTGCCGTTTGTGTATGTGTACGCGTGTGTGTTTGTGTATGCATGTGTGTATGTGTGTATATGTGTTATGTGTGTGTACGTGTGTATCTGTGTATGTGTATGTATGTGCGTGTGTGTATGCGTGTATGTGTGTGTACATGTGTATGTGTGTGCGTACGTGTGTGTGTGTGTGTGTGTGTGTGTGTGTAGGGATGATAGGCTCATCCCCCCACGCACACTCTGCCGTGGGGAAGCAGTGGCCTATGCGAGGCGGCACTGTGCCTGGGGCAGCTGCCTGAGCCCAGCAGGAAGCATTTACCAGGTCTGTGGGTTTCTATTTTTATCCATGACCTGCCCTGGCATTTTCCAGCTACGGGTAACCCAAGCCAGGAGCAGAGCCTCCAGAGGGCACAGCTGGGCACGGAAGCCAGTAGGGTCCACATCAAAATGTGGGGCTCCTGGGGACGTGGAAGAACGTCTGGGCAAGGAGAGCTCTCAGAGCATCTCGAGGGCTCAGAGCATCAGGACCATTGTCCCCTAGCTCAGTTTTACAACTGTGCCCCACTCTAGTCCGGTCTCCGTGCTGGAGCTGAATGACACCTGGTCCCTGCCCTGGGGGAGGATGAGCACGGGAATGCACAGCAGCCAGTGTGGGCTACCTGGCTGGAGCTCCAGGAGCCCGCTGCCCTGGCAGAGGCTTCATCCGCAGAGCTGCCCACGCCCCAGGCTCACATCTTGCCTCCTCAGTTTATTTGCTGTGCTGTGTGTCCTGGGCTGAGTCACCGAACCTCTCCTCAGCTGGAAAGTGTAAGTCAGCTGCAATTTTTGATGCTGTCTTGCCATTAGCATTTTCTCCACCAGGAAGCAGCACACAGAGAAAGAGCTCTCAGAGTTTTCTCTTGCTTACTGTGGGGTCTATTCTCTGCCTCCCTCGGAGGGCTCAGTTCAGGCCTAAGGAAAGCGTATCTGCATCCAGGAAATACCCACAACCTGCGGGATACCCACCGAGACCACGGCGTCACATTCGGCACATGGCTGCGACTTCCCAGGGAGGTGTGGAGGCTGAGGGGACAGTATCCTCTGAGGTCCTAACTTTCAGCCTTCTGGGCCTGTCGCCCCTCACCACCACGGCTCCCCAGCCACCCTCTAGTCCTGCCTACGGTGCTGCCCGGTCCCCAGCCTGCTCTCACTTCTGGAACATTCTGGGGCTTTCCAGAGAGGATGCAGGAATATTTTAGGAAAATCAAAGATCAGGGGAGGAAAAGCCAAGGATCGGGGGACCAGAAAACCACTGGCATGGTGACAACAATGTTTTCAGCCTCTCTGAATGCCCTCTTTAATCGCACACTAATAAATATGCCAGTCTTTACAAAATGTCTTTCTCTCTCTCCCCTGCCCCCATGGTGTGCACATGTGCACACCCACCTACCCACACACACACACACACACACACACACACACACACACCTTGGAAAGAGCTATTTTCCCTACTGAACTAGCTCTTAAGAATAATTGGAGGCACACAATAGACTCGGGAATGACTGACGGACTCAAAGGTGCTCCGAAAAGCGAAAAGCAGCTACACCAATCAAGAGAGAAGGCAGGTCTCACAAACCCTTCCCCGCTAACAGGAGCCAGGCTCCTTGGGGAGGCGGACGCGTCCAGGTCCGGGGTAGGGAATGTACCAGCTGAGGCTGGAACGTCGAACAGTGCCTGGGGGCGCAGAGGCTCACTGAGGCACCTCTCGACACCTGCAGAGGCTCCCGTCACTTAAGATGAGACGACCTGAGCCTCTCGAGGAGGGATGGCAGCACTGGAGTGAAGTAGGACACACAGGTGAAAACCCACAGGTCCTCAAAGCCCCTAAAGAAAAACTCGTTTGTCCCTATCCAGGCAGCCTTGTTAATTAGGGAGGGCTCTTTTTAATAGAAGAATGTCCGCTAAGCAATGTGGACCGAGTAATAGATTATGAAATACAGCCCTATTACATCTTCTAATTCCGTGATTGGTTAGAATATGCAATAGGTAAATTACACCACTAGGTAAAAGACAGAGGGAACTGGATCTTCACCAAGAGCCAAAGAATCCCTGTTACAGCCACAAGGGGGGAGAAACTGCCAGGGTCGCCAGCCTAAAGCTGCGATCAATCTCAGCATCACTAACTGTTGGCCACGGACATTGACGACTTCCTGATGGGATGCAATGTGACGCACAGACCACCTGTGCTTCTCAAAAATACTCAGCCTTCATCACTGAGCCCTGGGGATTCAGCTTCCACGTCGCAGGAAACACAGGGATCAGAGGGTTAAGTTCAGTGATGTCAGAGAAAACAAATCAGCCCAGAAGGTGTGACATTCTGCAGGGCATCTGGGCCAGCCTTTTCAACTCATGAGAAGTGAGGTGCTTGGAGGGGCTGTTCCATATCAAAGGAGACTTAGCAGCATCACCACCACATGCGTCATGGGAACTCTGAATTCTGGCTTGAACAAATCAAAATATTTGGGGGACAAATAAACTCATTCATTTTGTTCAGCATATGTGGTTGAGTGTCAAAACATCCTTATTTTCTAGAGTTGCATCTGAAGCATTTAGGGGTCAAACGTCATGATGTCTGTACTTTAAAATCCTTCCCAACACAGCAGGTAACAGATGAAAAAATCATTCGTCTTAAATCTAGATACGAGATATACGGGTGGCATATTACTCTACCTTTCTGAAGGTTTGAAACTTTTCATAGTAAAAAGCAAAAATGATACTAAAGGAGACAGAGAAAGAACAGGAGCAGGGACTGGGCCTGCGCTCTCCAGAATCCCCTTATCCTGGCCCATTGCACAAAGTCACTATGCAGATAGTATTGACTACGCACCTACTGTGTTAGGGCTTTGAAGTTCCATGAATAAATCACAAGTGAAATTCAAAGTTGCATGAGGTGGCCGGGTGCGGTGGCTCACACCTGTAATCCCAACACTTGGGGAGGCTGGAGCAGGTGGATCACAAGTTTGGGAGATCGAGACCATCTTGGCCAATGTGGTGAGACCCCATCTCTACTAAAAATACAAAAACTAGCCAGGCATGGTGGGCGCCTGTAGTCCCAGCTACTCGGGAGGC